CTTCTCCATATGAGAAGAGGCCTTTGCTCAGCAGTGCACACACTATTAGGCTGATGATGATGATGAATGTCTACAAAAGACAGACAAACATACAAACCATTAGAAATTCACTATTAGTATTTATTAGTATGGATGGACATGTTGCATTCGTTTTTATGTGATCGTATGGCCTTCGCTGCCGGTAAGCGTTCTTCAGAGGAGTCTTTGTGCAGCGAGAGATTTACAAAACGTTATAACCAGTACTTTAGAAGTAAGCCGCGAGGACGCGACCGCGGTGACGATGCTATGAATTTACCGCCTGCCTATCAAATTAATTATTAGCATCGCGATCAGATACATCATTCCCAATTTATGTTTAGATAACAGATAGAACCAATTATTTCTTGCTATTTAATTTTTCGCGTAATATGAGTGTTCCAAAGAAAACTTCAGTAGTTAGCTTCATTATTAATATATTGTACTATATGACTAGATTATGTCAGTGTTACTTGTAAGTATTACGAAAAGTTTATCTTTTACCAATATGCCAGGCGTATGCCAGTTCCGGATCCGTGATACCATCGTCACATAGAAAGCTGGCGTGAAATAACGCTTACGTCGCGTTTCGCCATTTCAATAAGGTTACAGGAGGCGATGATTGCTTACCATCAGCTAGTTCGCTGCGTTATACCATAAAAAACTCCAGTCAACATCGTCATACTCCTTCGCAACTCGACGAACTAACCAGTCCATTTGCGATTGTCTTGTCATTTAATCAAACGAAATTATACACTAGAAACGTTTTCCATTTGTTAATTACATAGTAACTGAATCAACCGTTTATGATACTTGTTCTTAGCACAATAATAATTAGTTGCACAAAAGGAATGGACCTCGACATATTGGGCAGTTGTCAGTACAGAATATAAATCGTATGCTGCTATACTATATAAGAATTCTTGCTATTGGCAAAGTCAATTGAGGTGGCCAGTGGCCCGGGGCGGCGTTTAGCCAGCAAACAACGAACATATTTATAACAGGGATTTATTAGCATTCCGACTATAAAGAAATAATTAAATAATTTATTCAGATAATTAAGATCCACATCTTTTTCGTCACTGATTTACAATCATTCCTGGTATAGCATTTACATTTTATTTAAAATATCAACTTTGATTTTTAATTATTTTTAATGGGTATTCCGATATTTTAGTTCATAGAATTTCTCACTGTACCGTCAAAATATCTTTTGCAAATCCTTTGGTTCTGCGGCTATTGGGCATACTTTATGTAATAAAAAATAATTTATAATTTCATGAATAGTCGCAATAATTTAACAAATTTTCGACCACTGAGACCATTTTATAGATTTTAATTATTCTTCTAGGTATGTTTAAGAAAGTGTAATGAGCCAGTGGACTTTAAGAATAGTAAAATAAATAGCGTACAAGAAACTAGCGTTGGCAACACAGTGTACTTAATCCTTAAAACCAAGCCACAAGTTATTTTAAAAATAAACTAGAGATTTTTTCAAAATATATTCACAACTAGAAAGTTTGAGCAGATAACAATATGGCTTTGTTCAGTTAGGATTCACAAGAAAACATTTATTACTTACACAGTAAAGATAAGATTTTTTACAACGCGGCCATATTGAAATTGTACTATAACACAAAGCGAGCTATCGCTTCTTTTGTTACCGATGCGCGTTGCTTTACGTACTTCTGCTGTCTACGTGAGAACCAATCGACTAATGACTTAAACTATTCCCCTTTGTTTCTTGTCTTATCCTCTTGTTATTTTTAACGCCCGTGGTAATTTTTTTAAAGTGTTAAGATTCAAGCAGGTTTTTTAAGAATTTGCAAGAAGTTATTACAAAAGTTGTTACACCTCGAGTAATTTTATAAAGAAGTTAATTATTTAAGTGTAGCATGTGACTCAGTAGAAATTCAGTAATAAGATTGATAGTGATAACCATCCAAATAATTCCGCGAGTTAACTCGACTGAGGTTCGGCAACGTCGTATTGCCAGCGGGCAAAGAGTTGTAGCGTATTTGATAAGCGATAAAATAAAAAAAAACAAATGAAATCTTTGTACCATTAGTCTAAATATGGACTCCTCGCTCATTAAATGTTGTACGGTTTGATAAACATGTACCTACAGAATTTTCATTCACAATTTATTCAGACTATCAATACCTGAAGCCGTTTTTTAAATTTAAATAAAAATTTGATGCTGATAATATCTGCCATGTTTTACGATGTCCTTTGATTAAATGTTTAAACAAATTAATCTTACTTGTTCATCGATAAGGTTGAATCAAATTGATAGCTAAGATATTAATAAAATGTAGGTACTTAGATACTTCTATAAATAAAATGTTGTTGTAAATAAACATCAATTAGGTAGATTGTAATAGTTAATATATTTTAAATTAAGTTAAATTGTCATTTCGCTGTGGAATGATATGTTAATGAATAATATCGCTCGCAGTGTGACCTGACCCCGCGCAAAAGTTGTCGAAGCTCAAGTTTGTTTGTCAGGCTGTGTGTTTATTGCCTTCGTCCCTCATAAAATGTTATGAATGATACAGTTCGCGAGGCAGGGATTAACCGTTTAGTAGCTACGTTTCGTAACCATTATACGTTTAGTTGAGCCTTTTCCAGACCTTTTTGTGTTGAATATTTTCAGCTATATTTACGACTATATGACGGGTGTCCCGAGGACTTTTTAACATCAAAACAAAGGTTCAGATGAATGTTGTTGTGCATTGTTTTAGTACTGCTGCTACTGAGATTTTTATTTGTAGATGTACTCTTCGTTTGTTTTGGTTTTTATTATGGACGTACTCCATTGCTACTCACTAGTGAAGTAAGAGCTAAGTATTGTTAGGACCTTGATTGTTGATCGCAAACTTATTCGAGTTCCTAGTTTTGTGGTCAAAATATATTTTTATTTATCCACCGTCGTTACTCAGTTATGACGCAAAGGTATTACCCAGTTTGTAAATAAGTTTACGTACTTTCCGAAACATTCAAAAGTTTCGTGTTATGTTTTGAATGTTTAAGCTGTTTTATGTTTAAGCATCAATTACTGGTGGTTTCCAAATGTATGTAAAATTCATTGGCGAGATGAAACAGTAGCGTTAACTTTATTTGTGTAGGTATAAGTAAAAAAATGTACAGCGTGCAAAACATCGCAGTGAGGGAGCACGCAGTGAGCTACGCACAGTAAGGTGTTCGGAACAAGGAAGCCTCTTTATGTCAGTGAAGGAAGCTATCGGCACAGTCCGAGAAAATCGATGTCGGCTCCCCTCATAGTTTGCATGGCCACGGTCCGGCCGGCGACCACTACGCACCACGAGTCCCTGCTGTAGCGGCCAGCAGCACCAGCAGCGCCGTGAATGTTTTATTAAAATATTAATATTATATGGCTGGACGCAAGGGGTAGTGCTTTCGACGTGTTTAGAAAAAAATTAAGGAACCGCGCCCCCGCCCCCACCGTTCCGCCCGCACCCCTCGCACGTCCACGATGCAAAATTTTCAGTGCCTTGCGCACGGCTCGGCCATTCTAATAATACAAGTTTTTGCGTAGGATTCGCTTCCATTTTTTGTTTTATGCATGTCATCTCGAAGGCGACCATAAATACATCGTTTTAATATCTAAGTGTTACGTATTTGCATTATGATTCACATAGACAACTAACGGAGACGATGTTGTCGTGTGTGCATTTAATTATGTTTCCACTTATCTACCTACTGTAATTTATCTACTTAGTAATATCGTAAGTAATATGACCTCGAATAATATTTAGTTTTTATTTTCTTTATCATAATCGCTCTGATCTTTTTCGGTTATTGACTTTGAATAAGGAAATGACATTTGCTTGTCATCTATTACGAATTAATAATAGTAAACCTATAGATACCTACATGTGCTATTATGTACTTATTTGTTTTATACTTTGATCAACTTCCCGATAAAATCTTGAAATATAAAACCAAGGTGACCTACATCGTCTAAAATTATGCATCTGTTGTAAACAATGCACTCCACATAGTTTCAAATTGTAGTTTAGAATATGGAAACCATTATTTTACGTACAACATAATAAAAAGAGATTTAAAATTTAGAGAATTTCGTCGCAGGGCTCTGTCCGCCCGCATTGTAAGGGTGGGTGCTATCGCTATCCTACTCGGACGCAGCTTCACCGGACATTTCGACCGGGCATTTCAATTTTGAGAAAGAGTAGGACCAGCCCCGTCTCCCGCGCGCCTCGGTCACCCCCGCGCGGCCGTCTCGCTCGCACTAAGGACACACAAAAGGACGAAGGAGCGATAACTTCATCACCGTGCGACGGTCTCACTCGCACACACGCTACGGTGGGGGACGACGTTGCGAATTGTTATTGAAGTCATGCCCCCGAAGGCGACTTCGGGAAGGCTGTCAGTTGCTAGTAAACGTTCGCAGCGTCCGTACCCGGGTGACCCGCGACGCCTTCGCGACGCACCTAGCACATTACAAACTATTACACATCGCGCCACCGGGTTTACAAACAAGTGCCAAGTTGTTATTTCACTACTTCCTCTGTGATTTTAGTTTATTATGGACATTGTTAAATATTCTTAGACTTTTTCAAGTGACAATAAGTTTGCGCTTCAGTATTATGAAAGTTTGAAGCGAGTGACGCGGACAGTTAGTGGCCGGTGCAGTGGCGGGTTGTTGTCGGAGCCGGCTGAGCGGAGCAGCGCGCGATCGTCCCGCGGGTCCAGTGTTTACAGCCGCGCACGTGGCCGCGCCGTACGCCCGCGCGACGAAATGCCGCCAAAAACTTTCTTCGGAAACATTGCCGCTGTTTGAGTGAAGTCGCGAGGGGAACCGCGTCGACCGCGACCATGACTTTAACCTGTAGCGCCTGATTAAGCGTGGACTACATGTACGTCAAAACGAGAAGTGCCGTTTTTTTATTATTTTTTTTTCGTTGGAGGAGACGGTGCTCTCCTTTGGATTAATGATTTAAATGGCTAACAGCAACGCAGTGTCGTCGACTTTATCGTCGAGGGATTATCACTGTAAGATTTGTGATCTCTATTTGGACACTGTCGAGTCATTAGAGGTACATTTACAATATCACAAAGAGAATTTATATGTGAAGTGGGGTACGCAGAATGTACAGAATGATACTGATAACAATAACGGAGTCAAAGTGAAGATCGAAACAACTGTGTCGGCACCAGCCGACTCAAGCGACAATATGATCACCAAGCCTAGCCCAGAGTTCCAGCAGCGGGCTACGCCAGAGACCTCAGCCCAGTTTCCTCATCCAGCGACCCCGCAGAGTTACCACAGTGCTCCTTCACCATATCAGAATCCAGATCAGACCAACTTCTCACCTGGAGCACAATTCGGTAACAATTATTCTCATACTGGCTTCCCTCAAAATCAACATTCCGAACAGATCAACTGGGATCAGTCCCAATACAACCAAGAGTATCACAAACCGAACCGGTTCCATCCGTACAACATGCAGGAACGAGTGTCGCAAGTATCATCTTCCAGTCCACTTTACGGTCAGCCCCTTAATCAGCCAACGCCATCGCCATCACCGAACCAGTGCGACAAATGTGGCTTTGTTTGTGACTCCGCCGTCCAACTCAATGAGCATTGCAACTCAGCTCATGCAGGTGTTAGTGCTCCCCCTACTGCAGCATCTATGCCATTTCAACAATACCCAGGCAAGCAATATAACAACTCGGGTTACCAGAACGAAAGTGCAAAGGTAAAGGAGGAACATGAAGAATCTTCTGATATTTTAGATTTAGATTCTCAAAAAGTTGTTTATCAAGGTAATGAGGGTGAACAGCCGACTGGAACTTTCGAAGATGCACCACCTCAAGGCCGTGAAGTTAATACACGTACTGTCCCTATGATGCCTTGGGAGACGCAAAAGTTGTACAGTAATCCTCAACTCAATGGAGACGTATCTCTTTTCAAAGAACAAAAAATGTTCGCCGAACAAAAGCCATACCAGTCGGAGACAAAAATGTTTCACCCCGAGCAAAAGTTTGCTTACACTCAGGATAAATTTCTAGGCGTACATCACGATCAAAAACCTTTCATGCACGTGGAACAAAAGATATACCCGGGAGTACAAATGCCACCTTTAACAGATTACACAGGCCCAGTAGCCTCATCAAATCCAGATATGAAACCACCTTATCGGCCCTACGATTCACCAGCAGCGCCACAAATCACCAGCACACAACCTGCGAATCCCACATCTTCAACGCTTCCCACCATTGGAGGCAAAGGCGCAAACTGGAAATCGAATGAAGCGCGTCGACCTAAGACATATAATTGCACCGCTTGCAATAAATGGTTCACTAGCTCCGGACATCTAAAAAGGCATTACAACACGACTTTGCATAAGAATGCGGTGAGATCATCGGGTCAGCCTGATCCAGCGACTTTGCCCATATCAAACCATCATCACCCGAGCCGCGAGATGTCGCGTGCGCAACAGCAGTCCGCCGACTCCAACACGCAGAGCCCTGTCCCTTCTGAGGACGGCCGAAGCGTGGACGACGCAGCCCTGCAGTCGCCTTACGCCTCGCAGAACTTTGACCGGTCGCATCGGGTTGCCGCCATGCAGTCCAAGTCACCGTACTCGCATCTTCAACAGGGTAACTTAGATAATAATTTCAGTAATAATCCTCTAGTAAATCACCCTTTACAGCATCAGGTCGGTTCGCATCCTCTTAATATAGGTAGTCAACCGCCGGGTATAGGGAACCCAAATGATAGTAATCATCAGTCATCAAAAGGTGTAGCAATATCATCAGCAGGGAATCCCCCAAACGGGGAAGCAGGTCCCTCTGTTTCGCAAAATCACCATATGAGGGGCCTGCTATCAGTGTCAACCAGCAATATTTCAACTCCGGTGCTAACTCAGAGTACACCGGCACTTACACCGCACACGCTGACTCCGTTCAGTCATTTGGGTGTCAACCCGTACAGCCCGAGGTCTACGGATCCTTTGGGGCCTTCGGTTCCGGACCCCACGCACACCCCTTTATATTTGGGTCAGAATTTTCAACAGACTATAGCACCGAGTTACCCAAACGGGATGGCCCCCCACGTTATGGATATGGCTATCAACAATCTGCCTACAGCCAATCCGGCTACTTTTGGTGAATCAGCACCAGAAACAGTCGTTGTTATGGAACAAGAAACGTCAAGTGAGCCGGCTGGCGGCCGCCTGCCGAGCTTCTCGCAGCTCCAGACGCAGAGCCTCAGCATTTACGTTTCTAACTATATCACACAGCCTAACGTGGGGGGTCAAGTTGTTACTGACGAGTCGACTGCTGGTTACATTATCGTCGACCCGGTTCACTCTAATTTATCATATGGCAATCCTGAAATTACAGGACAAGCTATAGAATACGATTCTTCAATGATTGAATACGATCCGGAACACTCGAAAGTTTATCCATACGGTTACGCCGTCGAAGGCAAAACTATAAAACGCGAAGTAGACTTGTTACAAACAGATTCAGGCGAACTTCAGATACTGAAGATCGAAGACATAATGGATTACGCGAATAAAGAAAATTATGGCGCTCAGCTGAAGTCCCCGGCTAGCCCGGAGAGTGCCAAAGCTGAGAATGAGAATCGCGGGTCGCCCGCAGTGTCGTCAACCGTGCCGAGCACACCTCTCGCCGAGAGAAACCAAATGAAAAAAACGGCCGCGAATACAATACACAAATGTTACGAGTGTGATAAACTATTTAATAAGGGTTGTTACCTTACGCAGCATAATAAAACCTTCCATTCTGGCGTTAAGCCTTTCAAATGTCAACGTTGTGGGAAACGTTTCTCCGACGACACTTCGTACGAATGGCACTACATTAAACACTCAGATAACAAGCCGTTCAAGTGTAATGAGTGTCCGAAGTCATTCAATCACAAGTCGGATCTCCGCCGGCACATGTGCTTGCACTCTGACTGCAAGCCGTTCACTTGCGACCATTGTGGCAAGGGTTTCATAAGGAAGGACCACATGGTGAAGCACTTCGGCACTCACAAGAAAAAGTCGATTGGCAGGTCGTCAACGTCTCCCACAAACTCGGTATCCTCGACATCGGTATCGCCTGATAATAATTCGCGCCTGCTCAACATTAACGTTGCTTACAACTAAACGGTCTGAAGGAAATAGTCGCAATCACATATCACCTCATTTTAGCTGAAAAATAGTTTATATGTTAGTAAGGCCGCGCCGTGAATTAGTTACTGATGCACCGCCGGGATACATACATATGTACGTAGGCCGCGATATATCGCTATGTAGAGTGGCCACACGGCCGCGGCGCGACTCCAGCGCACGCGTTCAGTTTGCAGTTCGTTTTTGTTGTTCATTCAAGCTAACCTTGCGATCGGCCAGCACAAGGTGACTTTACATGCCTGGCTGTCTGGCCGCTAAACATATAATTACATGACGTTAGAGTAATTCTACAATATCATTTAGATCGAACCATATCATTTTTACATATTCAATACGAAAAGAATCGTAGAAGTAATTAGATAAAGTCAAGATCGTCGTTTTATTTTGGAAATATCAGACGCGACGTACTTCACATATCTTATTTTATTGTAAAATATTACTATAACTATCTATAAGATTCATTGTACTTTAGTTAAAATTCTATGTTTCCTTTATGGTTGTTGAAATTTACGAACGATAGGTACGTATAATTGAAAAGTGTTTAGAGTATTTTTTGTAAATATTGGGACACGTTTGCCAGAATTTTATTTTAAGTAGGAACTGGAAAAAGCAAATCGTACGCCGGAGATAAGTGTTATGCTTTAATTATACGATGGGTACAAATTGATAGTTTCAAACGGTTTAGATGAATATTGCCAAAATATAGGTTTAATGGCAAACTTTGTAATGATGATAGGTTGAGTACTCGAGTAGTGTTAGCGGCGCAAGCGCGGCGCGTGCGTCGCCCGCGACACTCGGCGCGTCGCGGCCGCCACGAGCCGCGTGCCTCTGCCGCTAGTTAGCGTTTTTGTTCTAGGTGTAAAATCTTCTATTGATTATAATAATTATTATTACATGTATTGATATTTTCCCGGTGCTTCCTATTATTATTTTGTCTGTTAACATTTGTTTTAATATTGTAAGCTAGTTGACTTCTTTGTTTAAAATTCTGATTTTTCCTAAAATATTAATAATAATTTATGTCCAATTTAGTTACCAATGCGTTATCTGAACGAATTTAGTTATACATTCCTGTTTCGTTAGTGGTAGGAAAGTAGTCTTCCTAAACGTTGCCAAATTGATTCCGCAAACTGTCTGTTGCGAAACGATTTAATTTTTAATTTTTAGCCTAATGATAATGAAATTCTCTAGCAATAATTTATTGTAATAATGTAAATGTTTTTTGTATAGTAATAAAATAATATGGTCACGATTTATTGATTTACGTACTGAACAAGTTGTAAGGGAATCATGACTTTTATTTGTAAATAATCTTGTGAAAACGGTAAAATCACAGAACAAAGGACATATCAAGGCCGCGGTGTGAGTGGTCCGGCGTGTCAGTATACCCGGCCTGCGCATCAAAGTTGCTGCGACAATTTATCTTGTTGAGTCTGCCCGGAGTTTGTCCCGGGCCCGCACCGAGTCTGCACCCAGCTTCCGAGCTCCCAGCCTGTACGGCACAGTACATACCAAGCACGCACCACGGTACATTGACACGTCGCCCGCGCCGCCTACATATCATCGGTCGATACATATATCTGAAACCGACCATGTATTTGTTTATCACGGAACAAAAATGTGCAATATGAACATTATATCGACTTAATTTTTGATAATGTTTGTATTTGAATGTTGATTATATTGCAGAAATATTTTTATACACATAGAGTTACACTAGCAACGTTGATCTACCTCAGCAGTGCATAATGATACATTATACGAAAATGTTAAAAATCCGAGAACATAACGTACAATTAAATGATATTGTTTAGTGCATACCAGTGACCAATAACTGTGAAGCTCTCGGACCGATATGGCCTACCTCTTAAGAATTAGTATAACTATTAATGGAATGTAACACTAGTGCGAGAGCAGTTGCAACCAATCAATATGTATCAACTGACGCCCGAGTTTGTTCGCATTCTCAATAGGCTTTTTATATCGCATAATAGCAATATTTACAATATTTCTGAAAAGTATATACTATACATATATATAATATATATGAACTGTTTGTGAGAAATACATAAAGTGTTATATTGTTGAAAATATTGTATAACAGTTTTTTTCCTATAGCAATAATAATGTGTGAAACAATATACGAAACTTAACTACCTCAAGTAACGAGTAATAGGGTTAGAGTGTCGCGAGGGCAGCCGCGCGGGCGCCGGGCCGGACAACTATATACCTCATCTTGCCTTCCATGTTACGTTTAGAGAGTGATATGTTATACCGCACCGCCGGCCGCGGCCCCGCGCCGCCCGCTCTCGCTATATATATAAATATATATTTTAGAAGACATGTATGTCTCCCCTCATACTGTTTAAAGCACACACTAGTAGCATCAATTAGCTATTAACTTATGTAAATATATAATAACGATAAATTTGTTATTTATCATAATCTATTATCGTACTCATCGATAGACTTATTTTTAAATAAGTTTAACGTAGCGATTTCAAGTTTATAACATTAGTGGTAAGGACGGTAAACTGTAAGATTTTTGTGATGAATATTTGTGTATAATGTATTAATTTAATAATCAGTTACCAGATCATTTCTGTTACATTGAGTTGAGTAAAATCGGACGAGTTAAATACGATGAGATGTTGTTTTCTTTATATCTTGTTCCCTCGTGCAGTCGTTTCTGTATGTCTGTGGTGACAGATATTGCATGCATTTCGTTTTATTATCGAAATTTGTTAGCGTAGCGACGAAATTAAAGATCAGTAGGCGACGTTCGGATGGAAGCGACCACTGCACTGTTACCAGTGAACACCTTCGTTATCTTGAAGTATTCTTCACGAGTTTCCAACCGAGTGTTGTCTCCTTTAGAATAAGTCTTGATTATAGATATATCTAGTGTAAGCGACAGATCTGTCACTCCGCTACGGCGAAGGCTCTGCTCTGCGTTGGTTCGCTCACGCCTGACGACCGCGCTGTCGTCCGTCGCCCGGCGCATCCATGTGCCCTCAGATCTCAATGTTACGCCTACATGGGACATCGCATCCCAGGCGTGAGTGAGCCACACAAACTTCTCTAATGCGAACTTTTTGTATGTGAACAGCAAAGCGATTTTGATGTATTTTTTGTATTTTGTGATTTCCCAGAAATTGGACGGAATCCTATAGGTAATATTAATTTGTTAAGCTGGTAAGGTTGCATTATGTCTCCGAAGTCGCTGTAGCAGTAGTGTTTGTTTCAGATCTGTGAGTTAATATAAATTTAATGTGAAAAAATATTCTTGTTTCATTTCCCTGACTTCCTCTGCCCACTGCGATGTTTTATGCTGAGCAATTTGCATGTTGTACTATGTGATCATGTTAATGGAACTTTTTGTTTCATGTATTACCATCACTGAATCGCCACGAACATGTTCTCAGACCTCCTAAATATCAGGTCTGAAAAAATGGTTACTATTTAATAATTGCATAAAAGCTAATATCCGATATTTCTGTACATCACGTATGGCAATGCCGGATATTTAGACTGATAAAAAAAATCGTATTTTTTATCTTGTGATTAACAAAATACCATCAAATAATAAATTTGTTACTTAAAACTTAGTTAATGCAATATTCCTTTTTTATTAAATTGTCTTTAAGTTGCCTTGAATTATGTCAAAACTCAAGTAGGTAAGTAATACGTAACTGTCTTATCAAAATATTATAAATGAACAAATATATTTGGTGGTATTATAAGAACAATTAAATTTACTTCAATTAAGATAAACAAAACACAGACGACGTACAATTGTTTACTAAAACAAACACACTACATTATCCCATATCCAAACGATTCTGAGTTTTATCGCTATAAAATTAAAGTACACAATAAAAGGAATCAAACATTTACATTATAAATGTAATTTTCTTTCTTGCAATTGCGGTCTTATGACTATTGGTTATAGATCAAAATCGGATGGGTATGGCGAATTAAGTTTTTAACGCAGTTTAGAGTTGTTAGTGGTACGTGCAACGTTAAGAGTTCCGGTAGCGCAACGTGCTGCGTAACATTCGCCGGCAGATCCTGTAGCTGAGGTCTAAGTATTATGAATAATTACGTAAGTATAAATACAGTGAAACAAAGAACAAGAAAAACCTAATTTACACCCAATCTAAGCAGGAATAGGGTAAAAATTTCAAAAATGATGATTGCAATTAATACAAAATTATTGAGAATTCAAGGTTTGCAGATTTGAAGTAGCCAAAGAATTTTCAGAAAATCGATTGTTTGGAAAACAAATTTCAATATTAAATTAATATAGTAAATGATCAAATAAAATAGGCTTTATATATTGGCTTACTTAAATTAAATTGATATAAATTATTCATAACATAATTTAATAAGTAGTATGTAAATAATTATGAGCAATCATAAGTTGGTAGGTTGTAGAACGCGTGGTAGCGCGAACGCCCATACAAAAGACTTCAACGGGCGACCCCATTTGATATTGTAGAAATTTTTCCAGTTTTAACAAAAATATACTGAAAATATAAACGGTGTCTAATTTTTATGTTAAGCTTAATTTAATAGGATTATCAAACAGTAAAATCAAATTCCACTCATAAATAAATTCTAATGCAATTTTATTGCATCGACTAATTTAGACCCTCGTCGTAAAACCCCTTAAAAGTATATTTAAATCGAAACCATGCAACTAATTTACTTATATACAGCTTATTTTATTATAAATATTGTTTTTGTTTTAGAAAAACCATTATATATGAGCCAGTCAAACGTAGAAATTTATACCAATACCAGTTATTTTTTTAAATACCATTAATTTAAGCATCTGCTAAGTAGATTGGATGGTCGTAAGTGCGGATGCTAAGCAAGTGGTCCTGGTTTCGATACCTGGATAGAAATAAAATGAGGGATTAAGATACTAACACTTCAAACATTTGGTAGTGTATATAGATAAAGTTGTCTAAGTAGGTAAAAAAAAACAATTACGTAAAACATTTCTGCTTCTCATGCGAGTGCCGGTTCGAGACCTGGCAAGTACCAATGTGATCCATGTTATATGTACTTTCTATGATCATTTAGTTACCACTGACATACGGTCAAGGAAAACATCATAAGCAAACCTGCATATACAATTTCTAATTATAAGTTTTAAGCCAATCCGCCTTGAGTAAGCCTAGTGATTAATGCTCAAAGCTTTTCCGTGTGAAAAGAGGACGATGACAAGGGCACATAAGCAAAGACAGTTCTACTATAACTAAAATACCACTCGTGACTGAAGTCGTATTTTCACACAAAGGGTTTCACACAACTTTAAACTCTGGGTAATTAAGAGACAGTTAGTGATAAATGAATATTATGATAGTTTTTTACCTTTACTTGAATCAAGAATTAAATCCTACGCCGTAACGAAGATAAGTATTCATATAGTCAAACTAATATTGGAAAAGAGAAAAGATTTTTGTGTGCACGGACTAATGTTTGTGTGTGTTCATATTTGAATGTAATTTGGTATCGATATAGATTATAGTCTGGAGTGATACCTTTTTTACTTTTTACCCTAGTTATGTGCAAATTGTATGTATTATCTGCCATAGAAGTCTATTGGAAACTTATATGAAGGTGGTAAAACAGCCGACATACTTACTAATCTATACTAATATTATAAAGAGGTAAAATTTGTAAATTTGTATGTTGGGGGTAATCTTTGAAACCGCTGGTCGGATTGCCAAAATTCTTTCACTGATAGATAGCTAGAATGTTTCTGTTAGAATGTTTAGCGGGTGAAACCGCACGAGAGAACTTAGTTCGTAATAAATCCATTCAGGGGAAATCGTCAAATGATTTTTCTCGCCTGTCCAAGATGAGGAGAGAGGGCGTGTCAGTTTCTTCAACTAAAAACACCTTGTTCCTTGTCCTATTACAGGCCAAGGTTGTGGCATATTACTGCGCTAGCCCCGCAATCTCAGCTGTATCATTTTCGACGCAGTCCCCGTTTTTAACCAGTTATGTTATGAGATACCTGTGATGAACCGGGGGTATGCATATTGCCCCAGACCTTGCATATATCCGGACTCCGAATTAATCCGGAAGTAACAAAGATTGTCCAAAATAACTTCAGTAACCGCACGATGACTGTAATCGTGCTAGAACTTAACTTAGTAATTATATTTCGCTTAAATGAAAGTGCAAAATCAGTAAAAAATTTACTTCCGACAATGAGACCTACATATACCACTGTGCTTACCCCACAAATAATCATGAAATAATTATAATACTATTAAGTTGGAAGGAAGTATAAGGAGGTTTATACGCATTATGCTTATATGAGTTTGGTACAGTTTGATATCGGCCGCGCTTGCTTGAAAGGGAACGTGGCGTCGGCGAGTGCCGGCACGATGACCCACACCGGTTTCGCTTTCGTATGAAGGTCACAACTGAATCAGAGCCGGATAGTGAAGTCCAAGCATGTCGATAAGATGCATTTTCATCGATATACGAATTTTGGGTTTTTTAGAGATTAAAGAGAGATATGTTAAATATCTCGTGAATAATAACAAAATTATCATAACATAAAATCAAAGTCAAATAATAGTTTTTTGTAGACCTTTTTAGTGTAACTGTACTAAAGTGGTATAGGTAGATTATTTTATCGAAAACTCCTGCATATTACTAGTAGTACCTACATAATATTTTCATTGAACATTAAAACAGTGAGGTGATGCGTCGCATATTTGTATCGATGTTCAAACATCGAACGCGGCTCCCCGACCACCAATAACGTTTCGTTGTTGTAATAGCAACATTATTTAATTGAACACATATGCTGGTGACAAAGTTCGCACAATTCTTACATATTTGTCGAGGCATATTGTGTTCCGTATTTATTTACATCTATACGTAAGCTGGTAACTGCACTAAATTATGTGATAATTCTAACATTTTTATACGACGGCTACACTCTATTCCCGGAAACATGTTTATTTAGTGTATAGAATGTCTTTTTTCATATGTGTAGTTATTTCTTTGAGGTGTTTATTACCTTTGTTTATAATAAATAGCTAACGTACTGTACAATATATGTATTTTAGATAAGTGCTAACATAAAAACATAATCAATATTGAGTGATTGTTATGTTTATACAGATAGGTGATTAGTAAAACTAATACGAGTTACATTAATCCCATTAGATTATTCATTTTATTTATGAAACCAAGCATTAATGATTTCTATTTCCATGCGTTTAAGGTTCATATAAACTTAAAATAGTTTTAGAACAAATAAAACTTATAGAACCAATTCGAATTTTGAATACTATACGTACTATGTTGATCCGTATCACGCATTTGTGAACGAGGTGAAGGACCTACAGTAATATGTATGTACTAGTACTATTTACAAGCTTGAAGTTGAAGAAAAATTATAATTATAAATTGTTAAATATAAAACGCCACAGCTTTTTACCTCCGGGGAGGAAGCAGAGGCGCCTATACAACTAATATTATAAACATCTAAGTTTGTATGTATGGATGGAAAAACTAGTGTAATTAGTAATAGTGTAATTAGTTCTCCAGTAATGTTGAGTCTATAGTACTAGACAGGCCCATTGCCTCATTTGTGCTGTTACTGTGAATTTTTTAGGTACTAGCTACTCTCGCGCAGTTTCACCCGCTGCACGGCTCCTACAGATCGTAGCGTGATGTTTTATAGCCTAAATACTTTCTCAATAAATGGTCTGTTTAGCACACAATTATTTTTTAATTCAACCTTTCTTAGAAATGCCCGTTTAAACAAATAAACAAACTCGTCAGCATCGTAATATCAGTGTAGAAACGCAATTTATTTCTGCATTTTGAGTCAGTGGTTAGGAATCTGGTAGATGTGGAACGTGGCATTGTTCGAACCCGCAATTTTCAGCGCGATTTAAAAATTGCTAGTATCAGCCTAGATGTGACGTGTATGTTTGTACACTACATCCAAGACATAGTACGTCGACGCGTTTTATAAACAACTAAAATTAATGATGTCTTACTGAA